CACATAACGTAGCACTTCAAAGCAAGTTGTTTTGCTCACTAGTTAGGCTATTACTTTTCAATTACAAACGTCTTGGTTTGGGCATGTAAGCATAGAGCTGGTTCAGCCCCCTGAGCTGGAGTTTTGTATAAGCTAGATAATTCTAGCCTCTCCAGATAAACCTCTGAATTCTGAATTTGCTAGAGCTTCTGGATGGTTTTCCCACAAGTTTATCACAAGAGTCTAGTTCTGGTCATGAAAATGATTGTTTCAGGTTAAAATGACTGCAGTCTGTCATCTAGCCCTGAGACAAGAGCTGTCACTTTGAAGTCTGAGAGAAACAAATCCAATAGGAGCGTCACACTATGGATGTTAGAGAAAGTGGGAGGGAGTAGATGTTTACTTCATGAGGATTAGTAGGTATAGATATTCAAATTACTTACATGTAAGTGACATGAACAGTTTTGGAGTAAAAAGCATCTCTTTTGAAAGGAAGCAGGAATGCTAAAAAACCTGGGAGACTTTTCTCTGCCCCATCTCTGCCTGTTTCCCTGTGCAAGTGCATTGCAAACTCTGAACTCCGAGTGTCAGCTGATACAGAGACGGTAGTTCTGATAGTTGAATGTGTAAGATTATGAGCAACAGAGCCACAGATTTCCATGCCTAAGTCATAGCAGGGGTCAGTTCAGTAAAGGCTTCTGTGCTTCATTTTCAAAAGACACAGATTATATATATATTATTTCTAGTTTCGCTAGGCCTTGTGTAAGCTAAATGAGTAAAAAACACTTTGCACACCAAGAGGGGTGTCTTAATGAAGAATGGTAACATCATGATAATTAAACTTCATGAAACCTCTCAGCTGAGTGTAAGATCTGAGCTTACATGACGTCTGTCACTATTATTCACGCCTCTTTGGTTAAACCATGATGACATTTGCGGGTATTATTTTGTAAAATTGCTATTGCTTTAGATTCAGCAGCTCTATTACAAGCATGGCACTTAAAGAAGCTGCCACTGATGTGGGCAGTTGTTTAAAGCCAAAATATATCCTCTCTTATTTTTCAAGACATGTCTTTCGTGGAAGTGTATCTTTGAGTATTCTTGGCATCGTAGTTATGCACTTACCAATAATTAAAACATTTTCAGTTGTTTACATCTTGTTGTTGAATTGTTGCTGTTGTTGCCAGACAAGTTAAATATTCTGTAACTTTTCTGAGTTCGACAGCTGTCTCATTAGAAACATTTTGAAGAATGTTTCTGCCTTTTGAATGAAATTATTTTTATATTTTAAACTGAAACTTAAAAATTCTAAAAATTAATCCAGTAGTTACATTTCTTCACTCAAATAGTAACTAGAGAGATTACATTAGTCATGTGTTTTTAATAGAGCATAAAGAATTTATCCATTGAAAAACTTTGGCTAGGAAGACTATGATGAAATATATGTCTTGTTAATTCCTGTGCATCTCCAGAGATGGGCTGTAAAGAATTAAAGAGATTTCCATTGAGAATAAAATGCCTTTGTGACAGCTACAATAGCAGTAAATATAAATTCTGAAAGGGTTTTCCTCACATGAAAAAAGAAACAAAACAAAGATAAATTGTGCTATCTAATAATCTGGAAAAGTAATAATAAAAGAAATTATTAAGCCTTCCCATAGGAAAAGCAGAGATGTAGGTAAGAACAGGAAACGTCAAGTTATTAAGTAGGAGGCTAAGGCTGGCCTTGTGATAGAAGAGGCTATAGGGCTGCCCACAGACCTGTATTCCAAAGAGTGGTGGAAAGCCAGCGTTATCTGCATAGCAAGGTTGTCTTACTGTTTTGGTCAACACTTGCTAACATAATCCAGGGCTTCTGCACATACTGGTTGCCCTTGTTGTAAAGGAAGATGCAAATCCTGTTGAAACTATTACCTCTGAAAACTCAGAAGCTGTTATTTGCAAACCTAAACATCAATATGGAAGCAGATTTTCTGAATCTAAAGACATCTTTTGGCACCTGTGTTCAGACAAAAGAAGTATCTGGTGTCTCCAAAATCCCACTTTTTTGTCTCCACTTCCACTCTGCCAGTGACAATTAGTCAGACCTGGGCTCAAATCCACAGCTGGTATGCTGTCCCATTATGTAAATTACTGCTGTAAGACTGCTGAGTTGAGTCTATACCAAGTAAAACTGGTAACTCCTCTCATACAGCTTCCAGCTATTAAACACCTCCCTAAATGCATCAGAAATCTGTAAATATTGTGGTGAAAAGACTCCGGTGAGCCAGCCAACCTGAAACAAGGGCTGCATCTTTAAAAATAGTCACAAGGGCTTCACTAAGCAATCTAATAGAATTTGGATTTAGTGGAGTATTACTATTTGGGACTTTTTTAGCAGCATCTTAGATGTAAAAATCAAAGTGCTCAAGGTGCTATGATAGGTTTAACATTGGTCTTGTAAGGAATGTTCTGTTATTCCCTCTTTGAGAGGGAAAGAAACCTTGAGCACAGACTTACTTTAATAAGCATCTGGGGCAAGCTCATGCAGCAAAGTGGTGGCAAGTTCAGGAGGAAAGCTATGGATTTCCCCTAGCTGCCAACTCCACTGTTTTTGGAAGCAGACAAATGCTTGATCAATCAGCTATGGCCTTTTAGCTGTATGTCCAGGACCTCTAGACATTTGGCAGGCAAATTGTTAGAAGAGGTGCTGTTACTGCCTTCAGATATAACAAATTCTGGATGATACCTACTGTACTTATTGGTAGTAGGTACCCTGTATCACATGTGCAGTGACTCTGGTATGTCTGGGACATGCGTGACCTACAGTGTATGAACTACGTGGTTTATTTGCGCTATGCATCATACATTGTGCTCTGTGGACAGGCTGACTTTATTGTGTGCAGATCAGCTCTAGGTTGTATACGATACAATCCTTCACTGACATCTGATACATTCAGTATTTCATAGACACATTGAATTCACTGTGTACATACTGGACATCCTTCGTACAAGAAATCCCAGAGAGATATAGGAACCATTGCTTTTTAAATTTCAAAGGATGGTAGGTATGTTCTCTTGGCCTTTTCTCATGCCTTAAATATCACAAAAAAGATTCATTACCCAGTAGGAAAAAATAACGAAGATGAGGATTTCATCTATATAATTCCATGCACATGTATAAAGTACAGCAAACATTCAATCACAAATGATTACTTAAACCCTAATTCATCCAAATTGTTCTCTAGTAACAAAAAAAGGTCTAAACAACTGTGCTTTTCTGGTAAGTTCCTAGTGTTACTATAGGGAGAGTAAATCTCTTTAGGATCCAGTTCTGCTGCTGCTGTGTAATGTATGGTACCTGACAGACTAGATCAGACCCCAGATCCATCTAGTCCAGTAACCAAACTGTAGCAGTGGCCAGAAGTGCCACCAGGGACAAGGCTGGAAGAGATGCAAGTCAAATGTGTTGGCCTGTATGGACCACTCTCGGCCTCTCGCAGTGCTCCTCGAGATTGTGTGTTGCCTTACTGCCTTAGATAGGAGTAACTTAGCCACCAGTCAGGGCCTTACTTCAGAAGAAACCTGAGTTCATTCAGTGCATCTGCTCACGGAATACACCAAAATTGTCAGTAAAGGTGCAAGTGCTGACAGTTAATAGACTTAAAACCGACTAAGTGTCAGTTGATTTTGATACACTGTAGGTTATTTATTTAATATGGGCTAATAATATTAAAATGTTAAGTTTTAGGAAAAATAATTCTCTTTTTATCCGTTAGTAAAGAATACAGTTTAAGCATTAAGGCTTTATAAGATAAGCCATCAGGAAAATTTCCTCTATTGCTGTGAGTCCGAGAGAAGATTTTGTGCATTTTCTAAGGAACATACTGTAAGAAGAAACACTGAACTCACCTAGGATAACCAATCCCATTAAAATAGTAATTTTAGGCTTCCTATGTTTATATGAATTTTTATTTCTGTATTATTTTTTCCCAAAGTATAGTTCCCTTTATGCAAAGGATAAACCGTGATTCATGCATAGAAAGTCATCTAATTAATACAAGAAATACTTTGAACAAGATCACAGGAGTGGCAAACCCAGACCAGATTATTGGTCTATTACGTCAGGCATTTACTTCTGGGATGGCCTATATACCTGGGGGAGGAAAAAAAACCCCAAAACCAAAAGCAATTTTACACACGCAGGAGGGAACTTTGCAGTATTATGCAATGAAAAAATCCTCTCAGCTCTGGCAGCCGAGAGCAATAATTTATGTTTTCTGAAGTGCAAGGACAGATACTTCTTGATTATTTTCATAGGATCCTTAAAAAACCGACGCTATTGTATGTACATTTTGACCGTTTTTCAAGTTCTGTAAAAATGCAGGTTTTGCTGGTGGTCAACACCAAAAGTAGGTCACACGGGGTGCAAAATAAGTATTTGCGGTCAGAACTGGGATACTTGATGTGAAGCGGACAGCCTGAGCCAGCATCGAATGGCTGAGTCTGCACCACCTCCATTACAACAGAAGGCGCTTTCAGCTGAACAGCTCAAAATTTGGTACCTTGTTTTTTTTTTTTCTGAAAGCCATGAATCGGGAGCACCGTCATTTGCAGGCGTTTCAGCCACAGCCTGGTGGTGTGTGGTGCTTATCTGGCAAGCCCAGCTTCTGGATGCGTCTGAACATTCGGGAACTTGGCATTTTTTAAAACGTCGGAAAACACAAAAGGGCGACAAAGAAGAGCCAAGCCAAAGGAAGAACACTTGTGGCCCACAACACCGAAAGCGCCTCCTGACGCTTTTTCGGCGGCTCTGGCGGCTGCTGGGG